GATGATCAGTCCTTGATACAGTCGAGTATTCCCACGAGAATACGAGGCGGCAAGCAAAGCTCACTCAAGAGACATAAAAATTCTCTAAAATTCATTCATTCAAATCTGATCCCCAATTACAAAAAAACGTAGCCTTACATAGGCAGCAAAAGAACAATCTAGAATAAAAAAACCTGGGTCATAAATGTGCCTTAATGATTGACTATCTTGGTTGGCACCAATTAAGGCTAAAGGAAATAGGAAATTACCTTTTCTTGAAGAAAAAGGCTTCTACCTAAAAATAGGAAACTAACCTAAATATTCTTATGCAATCTTTGACCAAAAGGCCTTATTTAATGCAAATAAAAATGGAAACTTAAAAAAACGAAATTAACCATAACTAATACATAAAGACGTCTTCTTGATGCTTCTTGGACCTTCCAAATGGATCTTCATAATTACTATTCACGTCCATAAGCATGCATGGGCCTTTTAGGCATCCATTTGGGCTTGAATATATTTGAATCACGCTCTGAAACTCCCATGATCCATAACAAAATGCATTTGGGCCCCAATTTAAAAGATTATAGCTCTAATGGATTCCTCCAGGCACATATAATTGTGTTGGGCCTTTAATAACATGAGAATTGGCTTCAAATGCTCCTTTTGGGCTCTTAGAGCGTGCTCTTATCTTTCTCAAGGTCCAAGTGTTCATACTCCAATGACTTATATGCCATGGTGGGTTTCGGGGTGGCCTTCCATATGTCACGTTAAGCTCCGCATGTATCCGTGTCATCATCCAAGGAATGATCCATGTCCTCCTCCATGTAAGCATTCTAGAGCTATAAATCCCTTGAACATTCTGGAGGGCTTGCTGGGTTTCTAATTGAGGGAGTGTTATTTGGGCTTCATGACCTTCATATTCAATGCCTCCTCGTATGCTATCATTCCCTTCCTCTTCGAAAAGATTCGTCCTCGAATCTTGACCTGGATCAAAAGGAAAGAAGTTAGAATTTGTAAAAATAATTTGAAAACAATACTTACTGAGTAGAAAATCATGTGAGTTATGTTATGGGTCCTGGCAAGATCTTGAAAAGGATCTTGATTCCTTGAAGTCACATGAGGATACTCTAATATTGAAAGTTGGTGAAAATTGCTTGGGTAGAAAGCTTTTTCTCTCATGCACCCAATATAAATGACATTTCAATAAACAAAATCCAAATAATAGGAAAGCCTCTTAACCACAATATGCATACGATAAGAACACCAATGAACAACAAAATTCATGCAACAATTAAAATCCAATGTATGAAGTTCACAGCATCTAAAGACAACAAGCCATTAGGAATAACAAAATTTAGGCTATCAGCATGTTTTTCAACATTGCTTGAATGAAATGAGAATCCATCGGGTGGCACTTTAGGAATCAAATCAGTTACCTGCAACACACCAGAAACACAGGGCAAAGGATGATTAAGATGGTTAGTAATAAAAGAAATATCCTTGCAATCACCTTTAACCTCATTTTTCTCACAACTCTTTCCATGTTTCTCTTCACTCAAAGAAACACTCTCATTTTTACTCTCATTGTTTTCACAACACTCAATGTTCTCTATCGCACTTGTTTCTTTGCTCAAACTCTCTTCTTTTTCACAATTATTCGAAATAATGGAATCCATCTCCTTTGAATTTGATGTAGAGATGACATCTTTCTCTTGATTATTCTTCTTTGAAGAGGAGCATTGTCTTTCTGAACATTTCTGTCTCTTGAGTTCTCGCTCATGCTTACTAAGTAGAGAAACCAAATCTTTAATCTCCATGAAGCTGCACATTTCTGCAACGCAAGCTAATCTAGGATTAAGCCCATGTATAAAGCGATCCATAGTGGCTTCTGGAGTCTCCTTTATCCCAGCTCTAATCATTGCTAACTCCATCTCATTATGATAGCCCTCAATAGTCATGGAGCCTTGTTTTAACTCCTGCAATCTTCTATGCAAGTCTCTTTTAGACTTGGAGCTGCGATTAGACTTCAAATGGTCTACTTCAGCATTTAGCTTTTGGACTTCTTTTAGGAAGAAGTTAAGATCTTCCCTGAGCTCTTTATGACCATACATATTTGGTACCTGAAAGGTTAGAAACAGGGAGAAGAATGGACCTCACCACTCTACTCACGTGTTTCACTCAAAACAATTTATGCCACTCATGTTTCTCTCAAATTTGGCTTTTAAATTGATGCATAACACTCTTGCCTTTTACCACTCAAGCTTGCCTCCTATAACATTCTTGATTGAAACTCAACAAAATCAAGAGACAATGTCAGTTTGTGGTAATCTTCACAACCAAAATTGGTAAGAAACCAGTGACTATGTGAAAGAGGGGAAAAGAAGGATAGGCCAAACGTGAGGATGGAATAAAAGGAGGGGCAAAATGAGGAGAGAAGAAGTTTATGATTTTAAAAAAAATGGATAGGAAAAAAAAACGTGGAAAAAGGGAGGCAGAAATTGCAAAATTAAAATAAGGTTGTGAAAGTAAAGGAAAATAGGAAACAAAGTAATTAGGAAAGGTACTACCTTGAGACAACTTTAGGAAAGTGAGTACCTTGCAAGAAAAGAACTGAAATTAGGAAAGTAATATGAAAAGGAAGGAAAAGGAATAGGAAACAAAAGAAAGAAGGAAACTTGAAGAAAGAAAATAGGAAAGTAATATGAAAAGGAAAGTAATTCAAAATAGGAAACTAGATAAAATAAAGTAAAGTAGAAATAGGAAAGTAGGAGTCTTACCACCCAAGTATAAAGATTTAGGAAATTAATTGTGACTTGCAATGGAAGCTCTTTCAAATTAGGAAACTTGTCTCTTATGCTGCAATCTCCAAAATCTGAAACTTTCTCCTTTTTTTTTTTTTTTTAATTTTCGAATTTTTTTTTCAGCAACTTTGCAGCCCCTTTTTTTTTCTTTTGTTTTTTTTGGTCTCAACACAACAGCACTTTTTTTTTTTCACGAATTTTTTTTAATTTTTTTTTTGCTACTCAAAAGAGCAAAGCAAGTCAAGTGAATAGAAAAAAAACAATGGGTGGGAAGGAGAGGAAAAGGGAAAAAAATGAAAAAAAAATAACAAAAGGAATGAAAATAAGGAAGAAAGGAGGAAGACAGAATGAGAAGAATGGAAACGGAAGGAAAACGGAAGCAATAGAGAAAGCAACAAAAATGAAAACACCAAAAGGATAGAACTTGAAAGCTAGCAAACCTTAGCTCTGATACCAAATGATATAAGGTACGGATACGGATCGGCTAGAAACAAGTTAGGAAACTAGACGAACGATCAAAGGTAGGACCTTAAGAGAACCTGTCTCTTACAACCCTAGCCATGGAGACACCACAAGGATGATCAGTCCTTGATACAGTCGAGTATTCCCACGAGAATACGAGGCGGCAAGCAAAGCTCACTCAAGAGAAATAAAAATTCTCTAAAATTCATTCATTCCAATCTGATCCCCAATTACAAAAAAAACGTAGCCTTACATAGGCAGCAAAAGAACAATCTAGAATAAAAAAAACCTAGGTCATAAATGCCATAAATGTGCCTTAATGATGATTGACTATCTTGGTTGGCACCAATTAAGGCTAAAGGAAATAGGAAATTACCTTTTCTTGAAGAAAAAGGCTTCTACCTAAAAACAGGAAACTAACCTAAAATATTCTTATGCAATCTTTGACCAAAAGGCCTTATTTAATGCAAATAAAAATGGAAACTTAAAAAAACGAAATTAACCATAACTAATACATAAAGACGTCTTCTTGATGCTTCTTGGACCTTCCAAATGGATCTTCATAATTACTATTCACGTCCATAAGCATGCATGGGCCTTTTAGGCATCCATTTGGGCTTGAATATATTTGAATCACGTTCTGAAACTCCCATGATCCATAACAAAATGCATTTGGGCCCCAATTTAAAAGATTATAGCTCTAATGGATTCCTCCAGGCACATATAATTGTGTTGGGCCTTTAATAACATGAGAATTGGCTTCAAATGCTCCTTTTGGGCTCTTAGAACGTGCTCTTATCTTTCTCAAGGTCCAAGTGTTCATACTCCAATGACTTATATGTCATGGTGGTTTTCGGGGTGGCCTTCCATATGTCACGTTAAGCTCCGCATGTATCCGTGTCATCATCCAAGGAATGATCCATGTCCTCCTCCATGTAAGCATTCTAGAGCTATAAATCCCTTGAACATTCTGGAGGGCTTGCTGGGTTTCTAATTGAGGGAGTGTTATTTGGGCTTCATGACCTTCACATTCAATGCCTCCTCGTATGCTATCAGTGGAGGCTTTATTGACGCCAAGACGAGAGAGAGAGAGTTGAACAGAGGAGCATGAAGAGATACCAGACTAAGCTACTGAACATGGAAGGCAAGAGATTCAAAATAAAAGAAAGTAAAATAATAAAAAGGCTGCTTTTTCATTAATAACCACTGACATGGGTGCTGCTTTTACTGCTTCTTAGTTGACATTGTGGGAATTACACATTCTCCCATAAAATTTGAGTAGGGGTCACGATAGACTGATGGCACAAAGAAAAATTAGGATATGATGTATATAATATATATTTATTATTTAATCATATATTTTAAATATTACCTTCATAAAATATTTTTATAAGTAAATATCAATGTTTTTGTAAAATTTACAAAAATTATATTTTAAAATCATGACTACTTTGATTTCAGTAGTGATTAATAATATTTTGTATATTATTTTAATATGACCGGTCTGATCTGAGTTAACCCCGATCTGACCCATTAACCCTTAAACCACTACTTCAACCGGTTTAGTGTCCGGTTTGGTTTTTTGTTCCTTGTTAATTTCCTCCCTATTTTAATGTCATAATAATGAAGGGACATGCAAGAGACGTGTACGGTTAGATGAGCGACACATGTACGGTTGGATGAATGACACGTGTACTATTAGATGCAAGACATATATACGGTTAGATTAAGGACATGTGACTTAATGATATAAGCATGAGGTAAGCATGATGTCATGAGGACACATGTTATCACAAGACAAAGAGGCACAATAAATGGCCAAGATTTAATCTTCCAATTTCAAGATCAATTGCTAGGATTTGTTCATAAAGTCTATAAATACCCTTCTCTCCCCTCATTTTTGTCAAAGCTCATGAAAACCATAGGGAAACTCTTGTAAAATGAATTCTAGAGAGAGAAAGAGGAAGGAGAAGAGAAAGACCAAGTGATCCCATGCAACATCAAGCTCTAAAACAAGGTATGTTGATGGTTGTTAATGTAGTTTCCACTACCCTTGTTAGTCTTAAGTTTCGTTATTGTTTTAATGGTTTTTGAGAGCTTGAAACCCTTAGGGGTGTCACATCCTTTAAATTTTAACCTAGATAATGGGAATGAAAAATTAAGTCAAGAGCCAATAGGAAAAGTAGACTGACTGACAAAACCATGCCTGGCATAAAATCCAGATAGGGTTTGGACTGATATTTTTATAATATCTGGTATAGGTAGGACAAACTGTAACCTAAATTAAATGAATTTTAAATGTTTAATTTTTCTAATTTAAGGTTATGAGAAATAGTTTCAAATGGTTCTATTAGAGATATAATATGGTCTAAAAGGAAGGTGTGATATTTTTGGTATCAGAGTAAAGGTTCTGGACTACTGTTTGTGTATGAATTGAAGCTTGAATTGTGTGATATATTGGATTGTGTATTATAAATTGAATTAAGTGCAGGATTAGAAAATGGCTTGCTGTGAGGATGACAAGTCAGTGGGCACCATCAACCAAAGAATGCCAGAAGAAGACTATCCTGATTGGTGGTATTACTAGTGGTACTACCTAGAGAAAGAGGAAGACCTTGCAACTCCTCTAGGGTATCCTAGTAGGCCTAAGGACAGGGTAAAGTCCAGTGTAGACTGGATTACAGGATGATGCACAAAGTGCCGTTAGGCCTAAACCAAACCCTGATGGTGCAGGTCCTAGTGGGATCAAAGCCAAACCCAGAAACAAAACAGGTCCTAGTAACATCAATATTATGGACTTGCTAATTAAGAAGAGGCCACTATTAGTTAAGAAAGATTTCAAGAGCTATGATGATATACTTAGTGAGCTCATGGAACTGGGGAGACATATAGACAAGACTCAGATCCAGTATGCCTTGATCTATCTGGATTCTTCTTGTATGTTAGGCTGTTACATAATGAGATATCTAAGGAGGATCAGAACATCAATAAGACTCTCTGGGGACAGGCTCTGCTAGAACCACCTTTGAGAACACAAATTTGGCAAGACGAGGTCTAGAGGATTTGTGATACTCCAGATCTTTGTACCTTTGATAAGTTGCTGGATGATCTGGAGATTTTTATTGTCACATCCAATACTATGATAATTAGGAATAAGAAATATTCCTAAATAATTAAGGGTTAAAAGTGACAAGGACAAATAGAAGAATTTTGGTGGAAAATAATTATTATAGTTTTCCAAACCAATTATGAAAAGTTTGACTAATTAAGAAAAATTGGTCAAGAATAATTATGAAAAAATATTTCCAAGCCTTAGAAAATTAAGGAAAAATAAGGAAAATGTTCCTTGAGAATTATATGGGATTATAAAAGTGGTTTTATGACCAAATTGCCCTTAGAGAAATTACAAAGGAATTTAAGGGCGATTTAAGCTAGTTTAAGGTCCTTTATTTGGAAAATTCCAAATAAATATTTTTAAGGAGGATAAAATCCCAAGAAAATTCCTCTGATATCCCAAGGAATTATAAGAGACTATGAAATTAAAAGAAGACCCTCAAGTATCCAAGATTTTTCCCAATTCCTTTGAAAAGTGGAAAAATCACTAAAGAGAAGGAAATTAGTTTTCCTTTTATTTAATTATTGGGAAATTAAATTTGAGACAAAGAGGGCAAATTGGAAATATAGAAATGAGGAGAATAATTTATGGATCTGACAAAAAATGATTACAGAGGCCATAGCACTGTAATTATAGAAAAGAAGTTAAACCCGGAGTAAAAGTGCACTGATAAAGCAAGACTAGAGTCTTGCAATTCAAATGGTTCACATTTAGCCATGTGTCAACCCCCTAATGGAAAGGATTTAAAGCTTTCCAAGTGTCAAGCTACCAATGGAGAGGATCTTGACTTTGGAATTTAATTACATTAGGATTTAAGTTAATTAAGAGAAAGGATTAAGATTAAGTAGGCTTATGACACATGGCATATCATTAATGATGGTTGGTGGGATATTTTGTGCACATTAATTGAGCTTTTCCTCCCCCATATTCAGATCATATTTCGGCCAAGGTGAGATCAAGAGAGAAAAGAGAGAACTTGAAGGGAAATCAAGAGAAAAGCAAGCTACTTTGATCTTCCAACTAAGATTCAAGCTTGGTAAGTTGTTCTAAGATGATTCCTTGCTTGTTTACTTAAGTTGTATGCTTGAAAATCCTAGTTTCTCTTCTCTTTTGATGCTGGCTGAAACATATATATTGTAGAGGGGGAAGTTTTGTTGGCAAATCTTGTTAGAACACCTTAGATCATGATGTTTTCAAGTAGTTTAAGATGTTGTTGGAAGTTTTTCATGGTGGGTTTGTTAGAAGGACCTTTCGACCACTTTCAAAACTAAACCCTAGGATTTGTTTTTCAAAGTTTTGAGGCTTTCATTGTGTTCAAAATGGAAAATGGTGTAGGATAATGTAAGGAATTAGAAGACACGCAGCGGAATAACTTTAAAATTTTCCAATTCCTTGCCCCGATCTACCGATTGTGTTTAAGTCAAGTGGTAAGAGGTGTTACCTGCGGTATTCAAATCGTTGGTGGCTCAAGGATTCCAACATTTGGGATGCCCATGCTCTCCTTTGTTCGTGAGAAGTCGACAACTCAGATCGGCTTCCTCTACCGGTATCCACACGAACAGCTTTCAATCACGAACGACGTGCTAGCGCCTCTTGTCCTTCTAGGGTTTTTGAGAATCCGTCCTCACCATCTCTCTTTTTGGCCGTTTCTTATTTGCAAACCTTTTGCACTCTCATCCACACAAAACCTTATCTCCTAATATCAAATATATAGGATGCCATCGGTATTATGAAGGACATTGGATTTTAGAATTAATCCTAAATTAATTCCGAAATTAATACAATATCATATATTGCGTAATCTGATAAGAAATCAATTAAATAAATACGGTTTGTATATTAAATCTGTCCTACAGATTTAATTCACCCATTCATTTAATTCAAAATAAAGATATGACGGAATTATATTTGATTTATTCTAATAAATCAAATTTGAGATATTATACCTTATCAATTTAAAAATTGATATATATTTAATTTATCCTTATAAATATCTCTTATATCATATAATATATATACGTGAATTTATATATATATATATATATATCTACGTCCACCCTAGATTATTCATTGAATCTAGACATATCTTAGATTCAATGAATCTGGACATCATAGCTCGTGTTGGGCTATTTTGTGTGTGATCCTGTAGGCCCATATGAAGTTGGCTGTAGGCCATTTACTATAATGACTCACAAGTCGTAAGCGGTCTCTAGCAAGATATCACGACTACCCAAATCATATGAGGATCGATGAACGATGTAACCTTTCATACAACCATATCATGTCCCTTTTGTCACACGACATTTTGGTCATGGATGAGGCATGGAGAACCTCATCCTCCTATTCCTGACTGTTACTTTCTCGATCCCTGAGTAGTCTGAGTATAGAAATGGAATTACCTTTCCATTATAGTATGGCCATACATTTCTCAGACTCACTCATCGAGGGGCCCAGTAATATCTCTCTACGAATGTGAGGGACAAATTCCATCTTGACCATTCACATTCCTCCATATGAAAAACCACTAAGCCTGAACATAGTTTTTATGATCACTCGGTCAAAAGTGACTTTTGACTAGGTCAAAGCTGAGCGTTTCTCATGTAGGAATCCATGATGATCTCAGGTCAAAGGGCATAGTGACATGATTTGTATATGAGAGAAGCTTATGACTTAACCCATGCAGCTCTCTCATAGCGGTTCGGTCTAACACCTTGTACTCTTATATGTGCCTATGACTTTGATTTATATCTCATACATCTTCAAAGTCATACTGGTCTTATTTCATCTCTGCTCCCACATAGATGACCGACCAGGGACATTTAAGATAAAATCATGAGTTATCCAAGGATTGTCATCACATAAACATGCAAATAATATGATAACATAATTAAGAAATTCATAAATCAACAATGTTTATAACATAATGATTAGTCCCTAGGGCACAATTTCCAACATCCTCCCACTTGCACTAGGTACAATCATTAATTTGTCTAATTCCCATTGACCTAACATGACGCTCATGCTTTGCCTGCACAAGCGGCTTTGTTAGAGGATCAGCAACATTGTCTTCTCCTACTACTTTGCATATTTTTATATCACCTCTATCGTTGATTTCTCTGATGAGATGAAATCGCCTAAGTATATGCTTGGTCCTTTGATGTGACCTAGGCTCTTTGGCCTGTGCAATGGCACCACTATTGTCACAGAACAAAGTTATTAGATCTGAGATGGTAGGTATCACCCCAAGTTCAGTAATGAACTTCCTAATCCAAACTGCTTCCTTAGCTGCATCAGATGTTGCTATATACTCAGCTTCCGTTGCATAATCTGCTATAGTGCCCTGCTTAGAGTTCTTCCAGCTTACTGCTCCATTATTCAGGAGGAATATGTATCCCGATTGTGATTTACTGTCGTCCTGGTCAGTTTGGAAACTTGCATCTGTGTAACCAGTTACACAGAGCTCATCATCCAATCCACCATAGACCAAGAATAAGTCCTTAGTCCTTCTTAAGTACTTAAGGATATTCTTGACAGCAGTCCAATGGCCCTCACCAGGGTCCTGTTGATATCTGCTAGTCACACTTAAGGCAAACGAGACATCCGGTCGAGTACATAACATGGCGTACATGATAGATCCTATGGCCGAGGCATATGGAACCTTACTCATGCAACCTCGCTGATCAGGTGTACTAGGACACAAATCCTTGCTGAGGTGAATACCATGAGACATGGGCATGAAACCCCTCTTTGATTCCTGCATACTGAACCTATGCAGTATTTTGTCTATGTATGTGCTCTGACTTAGTCCTAGAAGTCTTTTAGATCTATCTCTATAGATCCTAATTCCTAGGATGTAGGTGGCTTCACCTAAGTCTTTCATTGAGAAAGACTTTCCTAACCAAAACTTGACAATCTGCAAGGTAGGAATGTCATTCCCAATAAGTAGGATGTCATCGACATAGAGTACAAAAACACAACTGTGCTCCCACTAACCTTCTTGTACACACAAGGTTCATCAATATTTTGAAGAAATCCAAACCCTTTGACTACTTCATCAAAATGATGATTCCAACTCCGAGATGCTTGCTTCAACCCTTTGGCAACATAAATGGACCTTTGAAGCTTGCACACCTTACCAGAGTCCTCGGAACGCACAAACCCTTCAGGTTGTGTCATGTACACATCCTCAAGGAGCTTTCCATTAAGGAAGGCTGTCTTGACGTCCATCTGCCATATTTCATAGTCATAATATGTTGCAATGGCAAGGAGGATTCTGATTGACTTGGCCATTGCAACCAGGAAAAAAGTCTCATCATAGTCTACACCATGAGTTTGAGTAAATCCTTTTGCAACCAGTCATGCCTTGAAGACATTTACATTGCCATCCATGTCGGTTTTCTCCTTAAAAACCCACTTGCACCCGACGGTTTTTACACCTTCAAGCGGGTCGACTAAGGTCCAAACCTGATTGTCATACATGGATTGCATCTCAGACTTCATGGCATTAAGCCATTTTTCAGAGTTTGATCCCACTATAGCTTCTTGATAGGTAGTCGGCTCATTATGCTCAATGAGAAACACATCAAGATTGTCAGAAATCAGAAATCCATATCTCTGAGGCTGAAGCCGTGTCCTATTAGATCTCCATGGACCTTGCGTGACTTGAGGAGTCTCAACAACTTGTTGTGAGTTATCTCTGTTTTCCATCTGTAGTATAGTTCTGTGGCATCTTGTGGCTCTCGAACTTCTTCGAGATGTACCTTGCTCCCACTGGTTCTTTTAGAGATAAATTC